GACCATACACAAAATATGTGGTAGCAGGAAAGTCTACAAAGAGTTATGGATATGCATTGGTCCTTTCTCACTATTTCCCCCAATCATTTTTCACCTTTATGTTTCCTATTTTTCCTTTATTTTATTCAATAGAGTGTTCGTACCACAAAATTGAACAGTCCAATGGTATGATTATATTAAACCAATAGTGTGATTATATTAGACTTTTAGAAAATTTTACAGTCTTTAATGGCATGATTACATCAAACTGAAGGGCATGATACCTTAACGGAACCATAGAATCTCCAAAAAAAATTAACTTCTTTTGGCGTATTCCATGGCACCCCATGCAATTCGCTGTCAAAAAGTTTCAGCCTGTGATAAGAGTTTATTTTACGTATTTTTAGTGTGTTTTATTAGTTAATTTTGGTTTGATTATTTAGTTTTATAACTAAAATAACTAAGGTTTTGGTAAAAATCTACATTTTATGTTAAAGTGGCTAACATTGCATTTCTATTGATTTTTATGGGAAAAACTTCATATTTTGTAGGTTTAATGATTCAATCATCAAATGAAGTGCATTGAGAAGATATTTGGATGATTGATGATGGATTAAAGTGGGGAAAATAAAATATGAAGTGTAAAAGGAGAAATGCAATTTGAGAACAAAAAGAATCAAGGAAAAGTCAGCTTTGACAACTCAGACACATTTTCGTATTTTGACTATATCAGGAGCTAAAATGATCGGATCAAGGTGATCTTGGTACCATTTTGAAGCTAAGAGATATATCTGCATTTGGTATGAAGACATCAAAGTCCAATTCAGCCGTTTTCTTGGTCAAAAGGTCGAAACACAGAAAATTATCTGGATGGTCGAAAGCTGAAGCCCAGAATTGACCAGTCTATGGTATTTTGACCATATCTCCGTCCACCGATCTCCAAATTAGATGATTCTTGAAGCATTGGAACTCTAATTCAAAGGGCTACAACTTTTGTGTTTTGCACAAAAGCCAGTTCGGCCTTCATCATGGAGAAAAATGCAGTTGAAGTGAGGTCAAAAGTAAAAACGTGTCTGGCAGCCGAATTTCTGTAATTTGCTCAGCCATTTTTCTCATCTTCACACTACTTTCCAGCTAGAGTTGGAGAGAAAACGTAGGCTGCACATGCTTCAGAAGACATAAGGAAGAGATATAGCCAAGGTTCCAAGTCAAAAGCCATTATTTTTTACTCCCTTAACAAATTCAGATTTGGAGAATCATAGCAGAAATTTTTGACTGGTAAGGGAAGGACTTTTCATCAGCTTATATGCAGAGACATTTGAGGTCTAGGAATCATACAACGGGTGTAAGATTGGAAGTGCAGAAATGTAGTTTTTCCATTCTCTTAGTATTAGATTAGTGTAGTATAGTTTAGCTAGTTAGTGCATCCACTCTTGTATATTGCTAGATTAGGATGAAGATTGAGATGAAGAAGGAGGAGTTGAAGCTCATGTGACATGGGTTATCTCTTCTCCAATTCTTTATCTTTTGTACTTGATTCCAAATTTAGTTAATATGCAAGTTCTGGATTTTGTGTTTAATATGTGTTTTTAAAGTTTATACCTTGGGTTTGGTTGAACTTTCTATGATTGTTAGTGCTTATTATTTGGCTATTTGACTGCTATGATTTGAGCAAGTTATTTAGCACTTTGGCTCTTTAAATCATGATTAATCTGGTACCATTAATTCTGATTATCTAAGGTGTTATTTCTGCAATGAAAATTGAGATTTAACATTAGTTCAAGAAGTGCTAAACATAGGGAGTACACTCACGAAAGTAGAGGTGCACCTATGTGATTTTTAGTGATTCATTTCATGTAATTTCACTGAAGAAATGAACTTGTAGCTAATTTCATAACCATGAGAATAGGTATGGATTAGTTATAAGTATAATCGATTCACTACGAAAGTAGGATTCAAATGCATAAGGAAATTACACCATAACTAGCCTAGATGTAGTAATTAATGATCCAAATATAGCACTTGCATGAGTAGTTAGGGATACCACAACCTAAGGAGCTTTTATTTGTTATTTTGTATAATTTCAGTAGGATAAATTTGTTATAATTCATTGATAGTCTAAATAATAGAGAAGCTTTAGTAATACCGGTAATTGTTCACTCTTCCCTGTGGGATCGACCCGATATATACCCTAAACTACTAGTTGATCTGTATACTTGCAGTGAACGGGTGTAATTCGGTATTTTTTAGCTTGCACGTATGTAAAATACCCGTCAGCCTGCATCCGAAAATTACTAGGACATCTGCACCAATTTCACTTGCTCAGAATGAAAATTCTTGGCATTCTAGTAAACTAGATAGTCCATGGCCTTCGTGTGACACTCCAAAATTTCGTAGAAGGCTTAATGCCTTTAATGCATAGATCTATTAAACTCTATGGATGCTGGCTAGCCAATTTTTTTTCTGTTAGTTATGCACGTCTGTGGACTACATTGACTCGAATATATAAAAGGTTCTAATCATTGAAAGTCACTTCTATCCAATTTTGAGCAGGGAAACCCGCTAGTTCTGTTTTTTTCCTCTGCTAGTCGGGCACTAGAATCTGAAGTTTACTGCATCAGCCATGGACACCTATAAGTTTTCCACGTCATGCAAACTTGGATGCCTGCAATTGATCTGGAAATGGTCCTCCACTATATCCACTCGTGGTTACCATATTTTCTCTTCCAGTTAACATGCATTAGACTTGATAGTGGATCAGAATATGTTCATTCATATCCCCTTAGATTCTTGAAGATTTTTCTCTCAGAACATCAGCCATCAGGACTAGATAATACGGAGACAAAAGATGAAAAGAAACATCAGATCCTTTTGTATATATTTGGACTATTGCATCATTTTTATCTAATACCCCTGCAGCAATTATAGAATTTTGTTATATTCTTGTCACCATAATAATATTAAAGCTGGCGTTTTCATTTGAAAAAGGAAAATTCTGCCGAGTATTGGTTATTTGGAGCCTTTTTCTGGAAAATGGCCTTTTTTATCTGTGTGTTTCTTTTGTTTTCAGCTTTATGGTGGAGGGATAGAGTAATAAAGCTTGAGTGGGGTCATGATTTCTGTGTGTTTCTTTTTAAAGTAATAAAGCTTGAGTGGTCAGAATATACTGATATAATAGGGAAGATTCAAAAGCCTTCTCAAATACAGTGCTTGAATTTGTTAGCGCATGACAGTCCCAATTTTCTGAAATATGTGTCCAATATGCGAATGAAAGTTAGAAGTGACATTGTTTTTATTTATAATTTGGGAAAGGTCATTGCAGACCATTAATGTTCGCTTCTTCGTTCTATCTAAAAGCAATCTTCACACCATAAAATCCCTATCAGTTTTGAAGGGACAATTTTCAAATGTTCTTTTGGCTCATGAATTGATTAAAGAAACAAAATCAGCCTTCTGTTATAGTTTGTGGCAGAGAAATGCTAAGAACGCTCTTCAGATGTTGTAATAGGCTCTATATGCCACTGGTACTTGGCTGAATGTGCCGGGATTTTTATCTATATTTGAGTTATGCTGTCTATAGGAATATGACAAGCTACATCAGGAAACAAAATATAACCCCAGCCCAGGATTTTGCTGTGTCCCTATGGATGTGCAATTAGGCCTGATGTACATAGAGGCATCCAAGCATCGAGGTAACATTTTTGTGGCAGATGGGATCGGATTGTTCCCTGAGTCTTATGACATCCCTAGAATGCTAATGACAGATAATTTAAAGTGATAGATACCCTTGTTATTTACTAGTACAAGTGCTTAGATATGGTCTACAAATTGTATGTCAAGTGGGCACCTTTAATAAATGCAAGAAGGAGATTTTCCTTTTTCTTGTGCTCTTCTTTCTTCTTTTCACACCAAAGAGAAAGGAAGTCTTACAAAAACAATGTTACAAATCATAGTACCGACATGTTCCGCTAGGCTTGTCACAATTAAGGATGTTCATATTGTTTTCAGTGGTTGTTTCTTGCACGAATTGGAATATGAAATCCCGTATGTACAATGATTGAAAGAGAAAATGCGAGTTGTGGCAATATACAGTTAATCTTGATGACTATCTGGCCAGCCTTGGTTAAATTACGTGATTGACTTCTAATTTCTTTTCTTGAGGTAACACTGACATTGAAATGATACTTTGCCTTCCTGATAACAACATTCGTATTGTAGCCCTTTTCATCAGAGGTAGACTTTAAGTCATGTCCTGTAGGCTTGAGAAGAAGTAAATATGTTCCCCGGTCGGCCAAGAGGGCAGTTCACATTTAATGACACTTGGTGCTTCACATGTTGCTGTAATCATGTAATTGTTTTATTAGACAAAATGTGGAACAGCTGCAAGACTTGGGTTATTTAACATCTAATGTTTGGATAGTCCTGGAGTCTTGGACCAGGTTGAATCTTTTCACAATGGTGATGGCTGCCAAAGAATAATAGAAATAGGTGATTGGAAGAAGCACACACTGGTGGCACTTTTTAGTTTGGAGGATTTAACAGTTCTATTGGCAGCGCTGCCAAGGAATTACACTATTAAGCGGCTTCCTTTGTCTGCAACAATGACTTTCATCCAGTGCCAAAAACTTGCAGAATTGACAAAGTCCATCAATGAGTTTGCTTGATTATGCTAAGTCGATTAATGATATAGGAGGGTAGAACATTAGTCGAGTTGAGGTGAACCTTAGTATTGGCAAACCTAAAATTAAGCAGTTCTTGAAAGCTGTCAGGACCTCAAGGTAACACCGTATGATTTATTCTTGTGGTAATGGCACTGCTGCCAATGCAGTTACTATAGTAATGGCACTGATTCCTGACCTTTGCCTGGTATTGCCACAAAAACACTCAGGATCTTTTGTTCTCAATCTTAATCCAAGTATATCTGTTCTTTTATTTTGTTAAGTTGTATGCATCACACATATGCTTCCACGAGGATTACAAATTCATGGAGACTAGCAGTGTAATGGAAGGCATAAGGAATATATCTACTGATAGGGTCTCTAGGCTCATCTTATATCTTTCTAAGAAGAACTTCATTTGCAGTTAAAGTTCAAGCAGATACTGCAAACATTTGAAAGCCAATATACATAAAAGTTCAAAGACCAGGAAGTATGTAATCATCAGTACAAATTCCACATAAGATGGAAATTTATGTGCATTTTTGGATTTAGCGTTAGGCACTGTCCAAATTTCGTTCCTTGTGATTAGAAGCAGAAGCATCTGAGTGGAGCATTTCCTGTGGATCTTATTTTTCTTGCTTTCTCTTTCACAACAGATTCCTCATACTTCCTTTTCTCTTCTATCTGTTTTCTGGCTCCTCCAGCATTATGATCTATCCTGGCCAGCTTGCTTCTGTAATGTTGCAAGTTTCTCTCCCTTCTGAGCTCCAGCTCACTCTGTATTTTCAACAGTGTTATCAGTAAGTAGGTCTGGGCACTTGAATAGATGGAGACTGAAAGGTCATTAAAAAAAAAAAACCTTTTTCTTTTCCAGTTGAAGTTTCTCTTGCATTTTCTTTTCATGCTCCCAAGCAAGAATATCAGACTGCATCCTTTCATACCTGATATTCCAGCACTTTTGTTTATGTAAAGAAACATTAGCTGTACCATAGCAAAATATTTTCAAGACAACCCCAAACGAAACAGCTACCTTTTCTTAATTTTGGCCATCTGAGCTTTCTCCCAAGCATCTGCTTTGGTTTCTGCATTTCTGTATTTCTTTGAGTTGCCCTTTTGCTTTTGTTCCGCAAAAGGTACAGGCCTTGCAAAGGATGTAGTCCTATTACCCTGGCCAAATGGCCTCCCAGAGGAAGCTTCAATGCATGCCTGTTATAATCTTAATATTGATTCTTCAGGATTGCTTACAGTACTTTAAAAATATACTCCTCAGTAATTGGAGTTACCTGTTTCTATTGGCAAAGAACGCTCATCTTTCCTGGTCCTAACACTTCCCAAAGCGATTTCAGATCCCTTCCTTAGCTTTTTCTGGTATTCTTCAAGGGAATGTATAGCAAAAGCAGAAGCTGCAACTGCTGTTGCAAACTGATCACCATCAACATAGTCATATCCCCGTCTCATTTGCCTTTGGCAAACAAAAGCCAATTGTAAGTATGTATCCTTCTTGTTTAGTTCTTTAGTTAAAAAGATTGCTTATGTAACTTGAAGTCTTTCCTGCTCAGAAGATTCAGATTATGTAGAAACCGGTCTTTCAACATCTTAAAACAGAATGGAGACTGAAAACTCAAATTGACCAAAGAAGATAACAATTAACATTGCCATTAAGATTTTGTTACTTAAAATTTAATCATCGCCTAAGATCTCAGCAAGTACAGGAATCAAATCTTCCTAAATCTACCAGATAATCATCAGAATCATCTTCTTGTGACCTTTGCTTCGAATGATAAAGCTGTATATTTTGCTTTGCAGCCATTAAAACATATCTTCATAGCCAAACAATTCCTATTCCCATCTTAGCTTCTTTTTTTTTCACAAAACAAGGGGGAATAAACTCTTCATTGTATAAATCCGTAAAACTTATGAAGTTCAAGATAATAAAATAGATAAATAACATGTTATTTCTTAGAAAGAATGACGGAAATCATACCTTTTCTGTCAGCAAAATGGTGGATCAAATGTTCGTATGTCTGATATGTTCTTCTTGACCTTTCTAGGAAGGCTGTTGATCTGAAAGACAACTCTATATCTAGAAATCTTACTTGTAAGAAACTTGAGAAAATAAGTTTCAGAGGTAGCCTCATGAACAATGACGGGGAGGCAAGCAAAGTAACTATGCTTCCCATATAAAAGATACACTTGCGTTTTGCCAAAGCAAGGGATTTTTTGTCTGTTCCTCTTTAACTAATTTTGATACTTTCATACCGAGTATGATCGAGCAGTTTTTACCTCTTGCCTGATCTTTTGTTTTGCTAAATATTCACCTAATGCAATCCATCCTCCTCCTTTTTGCTATTGAGTTTGTCTTTGTATCAGAGTTTTACAAAGAAGTCTCTCAACTCGATAGGTATAAATATGTTGGATCAAGATTAAGATTTTCATTAATCTTGGTGTCATTCCCACCGTTTCCGTCCACTTTTGGACGGAAAAGGATGTTGACAAAAAATAATTAACCTTATCTCTCTCTTTCCCTCCCAATCCTTTCCTTTCCCTTTTCCAAACTCAATCCAAATACCAAAAATCCTATCCTTCATTTCCTTTCCTTCCCACTCCCTCAAAACAAACAATGCCTAAATGAATTTAAATAGAGTTTTTCTAATAGATGTCCTTTAAACACTTGTTTACACATCTAAAATTCACCTAATCTACTACTATGTATATACATATACTAACAATTATTTTCTTCCCTTGCATTTATATACTTGCCCTATTTAATCCTACCTTCTATCTCTTGTATTTATTTACTTTTTCTAATTAATCTTACATTTCAAAAAAATATGATATTTGAAATATATTTTAACCCGTGTCCAATGGCCACCTGTTAGATAGATCCATTTAAATATGCCAAAGGCACCAATCCAACAAAGGTTTTGGGGGGCCCATGCCCCAATTTCAGAGAGGGTTTTTGGGTTGAGCACCAAACTAAAAGAGTTAGCCAGTGGTTGTTTGGATATTTGTGCTGTTAAACCTTTTGCGTTATTTTAGGCTCTCTTTTTTTTACCACTTAAATTTGGTGTTTCCCTATTTGTTTATTTCTGTTTAATTATTGTCTCTATTGGATTGTCAAAAGTTCTATTGTTATCGTTGGTCAATTTTTCGTGCTCAAGTAATTGTGCTACAACCATTCTGTTGTTCCCTTTGAGCAAAAGGAATGATGATTCCCATTTCACGATATAACTAACTTGATCAAACTTGCATTTGCCAACAAAAACAGGCTTTGCCTGCCTTATGGCGTTACATTCACAAAAATCTCGAATGCATACTAAATGGAGCAAGCAGGATATTAACGACATTCTGATCCATTTGATAAAAAGGCAATTTGGAGGAACTCTTAATTAATCATAAAAGTTGTCTTTGATTTCTTTATCCTTGTTGCATTTTTGTCAAGTAAGGTATGTAATATATCAGTTATTAAGTCATTCACATTGCAACTGAGTCAGTGATATCATAACCTTATTATGCAAAAGATCAGGTCTGAAGCTAAATTCTTCCATTTTTGTCTAATTTAACATGCTTAAATTAGAAATCAAGAAACAAGTTTTTGTTTCTGCAATGCAGATTCTTTCTTGAAGTGCGTCTTTTCTTCTTCTACTGTCATATATTAGATTAACCTCAATAAGGATACGTGCAAGGGGGAAAATGCACTTTTCATCCTCAAAATTTGGCCTAGTAACCAATTTTATTTTGAAAGTTTCACCCCAAACACATTGCATCCTCAAAGTTACTCAATTTCGATTGATTAAGGATAATTGTCAAAATTCAAAACATTTTCGACGGAAATAGGTCGCATGAGATGCATGTCCCATTAAGGCGCTTAACTAAACAAAAGTGGGGTGAAATCCCTCATTTCCTCCTCATTTCTTCTCTTCGTGAGCACAAATTCTGCGGCAACCAATACGTAGCTGCATCAAGTTTCAATTTGCTGGCAACAAGGTCGAGAATAAAGGACGTGGTAGAGAACTTGGACTTCGAAAATGAGTAGTAGAAGTTTTAAAACTTCAATGTTGTCAACACCCTTTTATGATAATGGACTAAGAACGAATTTAACAACTTGTTGACGTGGCGACAATCCTGGAAGACAATTCGTTGGTTGTCCTCTATGGTCAGTAAGAAATCCTTGTGATATGAACATAGCGGTAAAACTATGACTTTAACTGACAAGTTTTAGAAAATATCATTGTTTTCTTTTGATAGAGGTCATACAGGTGCAAGTGTTTTAAGTGGGTTGATAAGCCAATTTGCTCAAGAAAAAGAGTTCTCATACTTGGTTTACTAAAAAAGTTGAATAGGATTGAAAGGAAAAAATGCAGAAGAGGAAGAAATTTTTGGTGAGCATAATTGTGATTTTAGTTGTCATGTTGATTTTGAGTTGGAGGAGAAAAGTCGAAGGAAGTGTGTGTGGTTTAGGTTTTCAAGTTATAAATTCCTAATTATCAATCAATTAAGCCCAATTATCTCCATTTTCTGCAAGTATATGGGTCAAATGAGCATAGTGATAATTAGGACCGATCTCACAGGGAAGATTATCAACTTCCAGTGATTTTCAAATTCCTCTATTATTTAGACAATCACAAATAAAACAAGTAAATCTACACTACAAAACATCAATAAAATTAGTAAATTTAACAAGAAAATGTGTCTAGAGTTATGGAATTCCTATCTACTCATACAAATGAAATAAACGGTTAAATGAGTTCATTGTCTTGGATAGTTATGGCTAGAGCTGTTAAACGAGCCGAGTCGAGCTCGAGCATAGGACAATCGAGCTCGACTCGAACCCCTAATCGAGCTAGCTCGAGCTCGCTCGATTAGTCATTCGAGCTCTACAAGGCGCTCGAACTCGACTCGACGTGTTCATAGAGAACTCGAGCTCGGGCTCGAGATCGAGTTTTGAAATCGAGCCGCCGAGCTCGAAGCTCGAGCTCGAGCTCGCGAAAAACTCGATTCGAGCTTTTCGAGCTCGAAACTCGAGCTCGAGCTCGCGAAAAACTCAGTCGCTTGATTGCTCATGCATCAAACAAATCTTTATTATGTGCTTTAATTAGGCTGAGCATAAGTTTTGGCCAATCCTACTCAATACAAGTATATAACAGGAGGAGTAAGAGAGTACAAATTGTAACATCATTGGGGAATATACGATGCTCCCTACAATCAATCTGCAATCAGCAAGCAAATTTAAGAATGTGGACAAACCAAAGGCGAAACCCACCCAATTAAAAAATTTGAGCCCGCAAAGGATGTGAACAATTGTGTGAAATCTTCCTCTCACGAACTCCATTCATATTCATCATTTACAAAATAGATATCAAACTCCGTTTGAAACTATAGGTTTTTGATGAGCTTCGAGGTGTAAAGTTGAGTCCAAACATCTCTTTAGGAGCATGTTGCCCTGGTTCAATAAGCCCGACGACCTTGGCAACAATATAGGCACTGTCAGCAATGTGGTTCATGTCTTCTGTGTTGGTCCACAAGCGCTGAGCCAACTGTAACCTCCTGAGTTTTGTGTCAAGCCCAATACCCCACTTAAGGAAGAGGCTTTGCCTTTCTTCTTCGGAGAACTTCTTCAGCATTTGCTTGCTTAGCGTCCGCCTTTCACGACGAAGAGCCTTCATACTGCATTTTGAAATTCCAAAAAAAAAAAAAAAAGATTCAACACAAGCAGAGATAGTTTCTCCTTTGGCTTGATTCAGTGGGCTGCTTTTGTCAGGAGGGTGCGGCTGCGGCTGCAGGTGTGGAACGGGAAAACGAAATAGAGGAAATGGGCTGCGGCTGCGGCTGCGGAATGGAGGATGGAGGCTGCGGGGTGGGGTGAGAATGGAGGCTGCGGTCAGTGCGGTGAGAATGGAGGATGGCACTTGGCGGTGAGAACTGAGAAGGGAGGCTGCGGGGAAGAGGGGTGAGAATGGAGGCTGGCGGTGAGAATGCAGAAAGGGGAAAAGAAAAAATTAGGAGAATGGAGGCTGGCGGTGAGAATGCAGAAAGGGGTGGGGTGAGAATGGAGGCTGCGGTGAGAATGGAGGATGGCGCTTGGCGGTGAGAAGGGAGGCTGCGAGGAATGGGGTGCGGGGCGACGGCTCTGGCCTGTGGGATGGGAAAATGAAATAGAGGAAATGAGGAATTAGGGCTACAGGCTACAGCAGACGGGAGATGACTTAGTGTACGGTGTACCACATACACGCTGAAATGACGAAAATGCCCCTATCGTTCGAGCCTACCGAGCCTATACGAGCCGAGCAGGATCGGCTCGTTAAATAAACGAGTACTCATTAGAGCTCGAGCTCGGCTCGTTTCTCTCTGTTAACGAGCCGAGCCGAGCCCTTATCGAGCCGGGTCGAGCTCGGCTCGCGAGCTGCCCGGTTCGATTAACAGCTCTAGTTATGGCATAATTTTCAAATATACGTAATACATGCTTTCGAGGATATACCAACCATTCCTATAACTACTTCACACCTACTAACTTCATATAAAATTAGTTATAAATTCTAAATTCTTTAAAATTACATGGAACAAGCTACGAAAGCCACAAAGGTGTAACTCTACATTAGTGAGTTAACTCCCTTGGTTTAACACTTCCATAAACTAGTGTTAGATTACAATGACTATTGATGAAACAACACCTTTAGATAATCACGACTAATGGTACTGAAAACTTAGGTTGATCCATCTTTGATTTTGATAATAATGAAATAAAATGATGATCTGGACTAATGTTTTTATTTGAAAAATGATTAGGGATAGGTACTTTGAAAAATATAAAAAGGAGGATAGCATATCAAGAAACATTAAAAAGGAAATTTGCCTATTGGGCGCAAGGATCGGACACTCAGTGAAGTTTGCCTAATGGTACTGAAAACTTAGGTTGATCCATCTTTGATTTTGATAATAATGAAATAAAATGATGATCTGGACTAATGTTTTTATTTGAAAAATGATTAGGGATAGGTACTTTGAAAAATATAAAAAGGAGGATAGCATATCAAGAAACATTAAAAAGGAAATTTGCCTATTGGGCGCAAGGATCGGACACTCAGTGAAGTATCGGACGTTCGACAAACAACGAGTATTCATAGGACATTTCGATCAAACACTCATCCCTTCTATTGGCCGTCCGGCACAAAAAAAGTTGAAACTTGAGCATTCTATTCTCTATCGGATGCAGAACAATTGGATCGGGCGTTCTACAGAGTATGGAATGTCTGACACGATTGGTTCGGACTCTGACAGGTCCAACGGCTAGTTTTCTAACAACTAGTTTTTTAACCATTGGAGGAACTTTTGGAGCATAGTTTCATTATCTATAAATACCCCCAAATATAAGAAGAAGACAAGACTTTTGCCTACATAAGATATAAGCTTTTAAGAGTAATTTTTGGGTAAAAAAATACTTTGAATATTGTATAGGTGTGGGGAAAGTTCTTGGGTTTGTGAGGTTTCTCTTTGAGAAAAAGTAAAACCTTGGATAAGATAAGTCTCACTTGTAGTAATTCGTAATTGGTTGAGTGAGCTTTCAATTGTAGCTAATTGAGGGTTAACTAGAAGAGTTTTAAAACTCCTTGGCTCAACTAAAGGATTTTAGGGTGAGGAACGAGTGAGCCTTCACTTATATAAGTTGGTTAGTGTCACCATCACTTGAAAAAGTTACTTAGTTGATTCAACTCCAAGTTTGGAAAACCTTGGAAGTTTGTTTGGTTTGCATTTCTCTCTTTTTTTTTAATTCTATTTTATGGTTAAATTGCTTTATCTTTATTACTCTCTCTGTCCCAAAAACTTTGTCGTGCTTTGGGAGTTGAACTTTTTATGTATAGTACTAAGTTTCAACTTTGTTTTCCGATTTTGCCACTTCAAAATAATATTAGAAACAAAAATGTGTGGCCATTAGTGGTGAAGGAGGCAAAAATAACATGCGGGGCTAAAGCTACCTACAAGAAGTCCAATCTGTCAATGAGAGTGATATTCACACATCACGTCAAACCTTGTGTGTACATCACGAATGTCTTGCAACTTTTGTTAATAGCAAATGAAAATCAAGGGACCCACCAATAAAAATAAAGAATGAGAAAATCTTGAAGGGTAAAAATTAAACAAGAGAAATTTTGTTTTCCATTTTGGGTATGTGACATATATTTTGGGACAAACAAAAAAGGAAAGTATGACACTTTCAATGGGACGGAAGGAGTACTATTTTGTATGCTTGAATGTGTGATCACTTAGGCTAATTTTGATTAGTGAATATTTGCAATTATTTGCTGTTTTTTTTTTGAATAACCTAATTCACCCCCCCCTCTTAGGTTGTCTTTGGACTTTACAGGTACCAAGTTAATCATGATTGTAACAAGAAATGTGTTAAATAACTTGATCAAGAAATAAGTTCAAACAACCATGAAAATTTCACTTAACAATCATAGAAGTTCATCCATTCCCCAGGTTTACAAACTAAAAAGATATAAAGGAAACACAAACAAGAACCAAACTGTATTTTTACTAAACATGAGAATCAATACAAGAAATAAAGTTATAGAAGAAATGTCACCCATGTCACTTGAGTTCCAAACTCTTCATCTTGATTCTTAATCTCCTCCCTTATTTAGTTAGACACAAAGATTGGATAGCTATGCTAAACTATACTACTAAACTAATGAACTAAGAAAAACTAGTGAAAATTACATTTTTGTGGTAGTTCCTAGCCTTCCAAAGTTATCAAACAAGCTTAACAAAAGGCCCTATCTATAGAGAAGTAAAGCTCCTAGCAATCATGTTTCAAGTTGGCAATTTGTGTCTTAAAAGCATCAAAAAGTGTTTTTTGAAGATTTTATGCTTTCTTGTGTATATCCAGTCGGAATTCTTGCAAATAATTTAGTCAAAAGCTTGTGTGAACTGTCTATAACTTGCTATGCAAGTTGTAGAGCCAAATTCAGGATCTGCGACCCTAGATCCATGGGCTACACCTCGCAGATTGCCTCATGGATCTTCTTGATTCCAAGTTTACACTATTTTGCTCAATTTTCAATATTGCTTTGTTTTTGGACCAACTTCAGTTGCAAATTTCTCAATGATGAAAGCATAATTAGCTCTTTGACAAACATAAAAGTTGTAAACTTTGAGTTAGCTTTCTAATGTATCAAAATCATCTAATTTGGAGCTCTGTAGACTGCGAAATGATCAAAATACCCTTGACTGATCAATCGCCTATTTCAGCTTTTGACAGAAAAATTTCATGACAGTATTTCAACTTTTTAACTAGGAAAACTCATGAAATGGATTTCAATGTCTCGTAAGAAATGTAGATCTATGTCTTGGTTTCAAAATGACTCAAGAATAATCTCAATCCGATACTTGTAACTCAAGATTTAATCAAAATACCAAAAGATTATATCAAAACTGTCAAACTTTTCTTCTTTTATACTTGATTGCATTTCATCTTTTTGCACATTTTGCACTTCATGTTCACTTTAAATCACTTTAAATTATCTACAATCATCCAAATATCTTCTTAATTCACTCCGCATGACGATTGAATCATAAACCTACAAAAACATGAAATTTTCACTGCTCTAATCCATAAAAATGCAAATTTTCACAATTTGAACCACAAAATGCACACTTCATTAGAAACCTAGTTAATTAGCTATAAAAATGATTAAAACACACCAAAACTAAACAATAAAACACACATAAAATACATGCTTATCAAAATGTAAAAGGAGGGAAGTTGCTGCTAAGTCTGGAATGATGCATTACTGAATTTGCAGAAGAAGATTTGAAGGCGGCCTTGTTTTGTTGCCAGGTTACAACTGTACTTTTGTGAAAATGGACTTATAATTGCAGAAAAATAGACCTATTTTGTTTATATAAAGTTCCAAATCAAGTCCACAAAATTTTTTAAGATTTGGTTCATAAAGAGAGAGAAGAAATGAGGGATTTTACCCTCTTTTGTTTGGTTAAGCACCTCACTCATCAGGGCATGCATCTCAAGTGACCTATTTCTATCCATCTTGCTTTGAATTCTGTCAATTGTCCTTAATTGATCGAAATTGAGCAACTTTGAAGATACAATGTGTTTAGGGCAAAACTTTGGGGATGAAAGTGGTAATATTCTGGAAGCATTAGTCTTTGCTTCTCAATGTTTTTCAAACTTACCAATTAGTACCAGTTGGAAGCTGACCATGTGACATGGTTGTTACTTGTTAGCTACAGTAGTTGATCACGTTGTTAACCATCTCTTTGTGAAAGAACTAACTGTTGTTGTTCTTTAGTAAAAGATGACCTTTAGGAGTCGTTGGTGCTATGAAGCATTTGTTGTAAGGGAGTTGATTAATTTTTTTTCTTTTCTGTTTTTTGTATTTGGGTACTCTTTCTGTTGGGATAGTACGCAATTGAGGCAAGTTGATAACATGGGTTCACTAAGCTTGTTGTTCGTTTTGGCTTCGATTTAGGATGTCTGAAGTTCTATTTCCTTCTTCCGTTTTTGACCTTTAAATAATCTTCATTGACTCATCAGATGGGAAGCTATGCAAAGTGAGAATCTTATTAAGTAGGGGGATAAACACCACAAATTATGGCAATTTAGCTGTCCAATTCATGACTGGGCCCAAAATTTGGTACATTAGTTAAAGTGATAATGCTTCTCTTCAGATTTATCTTGAGTTCCAGACATTTTATGGCATTCCTGCAATGCTTGTCCATGCTTGGAAATGCATATTATCCATTTGAAAGAAATTGTTTGTGGGTGCTGGTCTGATTGAATTGCATAATAGCTCTTTAATTCTGTTACTCCTCCAAGTCCAAAATGTTTTGCTTTTTGTTGCATGGCATATCTTATCAATTCTAATTTCTTCTTTATTTGATAGATAAGATCTGTGCTTGACGTGGCAATGAAGGTTAAGCATTTAATCCTCCTATCCGGGACTCCCTCCTTATCAAGATTGTGATGGAACTGTTTGACATTTGTGTTTTTGCTATGTCAAAATTTTGAATTTCCATTACTTGTTAATGGATGTGTCAATACACTTGAATGCTACGTAAGGATTTCTTGCCTATTGTTGGCTTTGATTATGTGCATTATGCCAATTGGATTCCCTTTTCACCTGTGCATATGGTCCTAGGTGATAATAGGCCATTCGACATTTTTCATCAGATAAATATGTTATGGTAAGTCTCCTGACCTCTTAGATTAATAACTTCTGATTATTCTGTTTATGCTCTTTTCATGTCATTGGTTGTGCATCCTTTTTCTAGGCCGGGCTTGCTGGGGGAGACCAAATATGATTTTGCAAAGACATACTGCTCTGTTAAACTTGTTAATGGTTGTCAAGGGAAAGTTTTTCAGTTGTTTTTTTGGTCTTTGGAGTGGAAATACTTTTGCTTCGTCAGTGATTAATGTATTTTACTTCATTCGTAAAAGGGAATATGAAATGATGCTTATATACTACTCCTAGGGCATTTTGAGCCCAGATTTTAAAGGCGGGATTTACAAACTTTGATGCCCGCTTGTATTCTTGGGGTTTTGGAATTCTTAATGATTGCTAGATTGCACAATTTTCAAAATGTTGTCTAATAGGAGGCAGTTTGAAATTCACTTGAGTATAAGTTCTGCTGTTTATCTGGTAAAACTACTGGTGCAGCTAACCCTTCACAACTAGGTTAAATTTCATTAACCTTGTTATAAAACTCAGATTTTTTATTATTCATAGCATAAATCTAATATGTTAACATATTATCACCAATTCCATCATCCTCCACCCCCCACCACCTCCTCCCTGGAAAAGAAACAAGCATTTGGATGGTTGCACTCCTCTGTTGAACATGCATATCATAATAAATTAGATTTTTAGCTTTTGTTGTCGGGTAACAAAAAAATCATGTTCTTTTTGATGTAAACATCATTTCAACTGTCCTTGTGTTGTCATTGACCTTAAAACATGATCTCAACAGTGCTTTCAAAAGAGTGGCTTATGTCTTTTTCCTTTCTGTTTTATAATTACTTAAACAATTTCTGCCAAATGAAAAAACGACAATCACTAAAAAGATGTTTAGGTTATTTAGCCACCTGTAGTGTATAGTATATCCTATGCTACAACAAGAGCTAGTACAATGAACAAACATAATAATACCTGGTATTTAACATCCTCATGTTTTAATATCTGAGATTTTGAAGTCTTGCATGATTTGCAGCAGAAAATGATTTGCCTGTTGAGTCTTTTTTTGCCTGTCCTAATACAATAAATGGCTCAATCTTGTAGGATTTCTCAAAGGGCATACGTTTGGAGGAGTTAAATGTTCTTTTGAAGCAAACTGTTATGGTATGATTTAATATCAACTAAATTCTTATATGCTTGACATTTATTGTTTTCCAGTGTCTCTGTAAAGCAGCAACATTAATCAGTGTTCTAATTGCCTGAAAGAAGGATTTTAAGGTTGAATTTTTTTGGGGGGGAGTAAATGTGGAGCATGATCTCCACTCACATTCTGGATCTTGAAACCCTGTAACAGTGATACCAATTGTCATCACTAGAATTGGAGTTTCAACTTTCAAACTTTCCACTTTATGCAACGATTTCTTCTGGAAATAGCATTAATTTAGTCAATTAATCAATTGCAATTCAAGAAACATCTGAACGTTTGGAGTCACGTTTTGTGGAAGCAGGACAAAGAAAGGGGCAAAATCAAGAACTTTTCTTTTGTTACTGTGTACATTGTCAATATTTAGTATTGATGCCTCTCATATCTTTTTATCTTCTGATATAAAATTAGTTACCTTTGCACTAAGAGTTGGATTATATTTTGTACCATGTTTTGAAGGTGTCCCTGCTCTGATTTTCTCTAAGGACTAGCCATTAATATCCTTCATTTGCATGCTGCAGATAAGATGTTTGAAGCAGCATGTGCTGGCACAGCTACTGCCAGTACGCCAGAAAATAATGAGATTAGTTTTGAGGAGATCCGATATTGCTTCTGCCATGGCTGCTCTTGGATTGGTTTTAGCAAAATCATATTTTACTTCTTTCCTGGCTGCACTCGGTGTGCTCAATAGTGACACTTCTGCAAATGATACTGAAGATGAATTTTCTGAACTTCGTCAAGGTTCAGTTGTCTCTTTTATTTTGTTAGTATATATTGAACGAAGTGGAGTGCAATAACTATTTATGCTGCACCATGAAATGTTTTCAGATGCTAGCATCAGGTGTAGCAAAAGAACTAAGCAAGTTTGAAAAAGAGTTCCATCTCACAAAATTCTCTTTAAATCAAGATGAGAAGGCATTGGTTGCATTAATCTTTATAAGGTCGAGTCTCTATTCTAGTAAAGCATCTTGTACATAGTTCTTTCTCTTTTGTTCACAAATACTTAACTGCTGCTGTCTTTGACGCTTAATAGGCTACTTGTTGAAATCCTGCGTCTTGGTTAAGCAATGCTTTGCTTGAACCCTTGATCACAAGTAAAGCTCTGCGATATCTTGCAAGGGTTATCTGTAACTTTTGGTGTTGGGTATTCATTAGACGACATCATTTAAAAGTCAGAGTGGAGCTTAATTTATAACTGGATGTATAAATTGTCAATGGTTTAAAATGCTGTTCCATATGTTGCTAAGATTCTGAGTCTGAAAATTGTTCAGGAGATTGAAGTTCTCTGAGTGGCTGAGTCACAAAGGTGGGAATCAACTAACTGCACTGCACCATAGCATCCTTAAGAACTGCACATCCACTGACATTCATTATGATTGTTGGCCTAGAATTCCAAGTAAATGATGTCCACAAAGATCATTACATCAGTTCTGCTTTCTCAGAGAAGCATCTGATATACATTGCACTTCAAATTTGTTGGTTATTAAGTGATGAGTTGGGGTCCCTATTCTAAATGTTTTCAGATAAAAGCAACAATCGAGACATGATGAAAAAGGAAGACCAAATACTGGGTCTAGCAAAACTATTGGGATTCCTTGAGTGCCTCTCTATACATCCAATGCTTTCAGGATTTGAAGGCGAGGAAGCTACAGAAGCTACTGTCAGTTCACAACAAATGACAATATTCGCTCATCATAATATTGAAGGCTTTATAATATTCGCTCATCATAATGATAATATTGTGCGTGACAGAATACAGGTCAGTTACTTTCCCTTGTTACATATTGAAGGCTTTACATTTGTTTTCTGTATTCTCTTTATAAATATAGTTGTGACTTGCTTCTGCTTAAGATGTTTCTGCTTTTGTCAAGTTTAAAGTTCTGACAATTTTTAGATTTTGGTCTCTGTGAAACACAGATGTGAGTCATGTGACAGTTTGCTTTGGGTGCTTTGTGTAACAATGGATATTTATTTCATCAGAATTCGTAACAAAATTCCGATCTCTGCAGAAATTTGAAGAAGTGCAAGTACAAAAAAACTTGAGAAACTTCAAATTGATATCGAGAATTAATGGGATGATGCCTTATGGCTAAGTGAGAGAAAACCTTTACAACTTTTAGTTCCAAATAAGGCTCCTTGAAGTAACAAAAGGAGGGAGTCATAGATTGATGACCTACAATGGCATCTTTTAAAGCCATTCCATTGCATATTAATGGACCTGTCTTGGGTAACATCACAACTGAATGGTTGATGCAATTAGTCAGCTAAACATGTTCAATGCAAACGTTGCTTTGGAAAGTCAAAGTATTAGATATTCTCCCTGGAAAAATAGTACCTAGGGGTCTTAATACAACAACTGGATATGATAATAAATATAAAAGCAGCAGTAGAAATATTAAAGATCCTTGGTAGTTATCAAGTTGAAGCACAGGATTGTAACTGTGACATTCTTGATCTTGGAGGTGGGCCACTAGTTTGATGGTTAGAGACCCTTAGAATTTCTTGTTTACCATTCTAGCTTGCTGTATGGATTGAATGGGCGTACAGGTATTCAATGTTTTTTGGTCTTTTAGTAATCCGGTATATATAGCTCATACTTCATTTTCAAGTTATGCAAATTGCAGGAGTTTCTATTAGAGAAAGGCATGGAATATATTCGAATTGATGCACATGTATCGTTTATTGGGAAAGAAGCTATTCAATCCTTTCAATCATCAGAACAGGTCAATATTGCTTGCCCAACTTTTTTTGCTTTATGTGTGCCTTTTGGAGGGTTCAGCATGTATTGACAAAGTTGTCACATTATATTGCTTTTGCGAGTTCTTTGTAATGTTGAAAACCACTTTCGTTTGATTCATTGATCTGAGTAGTGCTGCTGGAGCTTGTGCTTCAAGTTTTTGCTGGCTTAGTTTTTTACTTAAATACACCAGTTACCTGCATCTGTCTATAGACCTGAAAAGCCCATGTGCTTGCTGTATCATACACTTGTTATTGCATTTGATTGAGGTTAAGATTGCTATCATTGGAATATTAGCTGGAGGCTTCGGACTTACATTGACAGCAGCAAAAAATGTTGTTTTCTTGGAGTTGCCCAAGGAAATCTCTAGCTTGAACCAGGTAAGTTATGGAAAACCTTCTTAGATCTAGCCATCCAAATTTCCTGAAGTTAGGCCAAGATCAGTTGATGACTTTAATCTGTTGGCATGCTTGCAGTTTCTATTCAATATCTTGTCTCTCAGTATGTCTAGAACAAAAATAACAGACACTGATGGCTTCCTACCAATTGGTTCATCCATTTTCATTTCCTTTTCGGAAAGTGAAACACAAAGAAAGAACTTTCCTTTTGACAAATTTGCTTGTCCAATCAGATGAACGTATTTAATGTTTTTAATGCAGAGTTTCACTTGCTTACTTTTCCCTATGCAGCTACTTTTAGATATCAAGTTAATTTTTTTTTAATATCTGAGTCTTAGACTTGTACAGAAAGCTAAATGGTACCCCATATTTGACTTCTTTTCTAATTTTTATACTACATACCCCATAGTTGACTTCTTTTCTAATTTGTATACTACAGTCCATGTACCTTTATAATGTTCTCATATATGTTGATTTTGCTATTTGGTTACAATGGTGATGCATCACAAGCTGGTGGTAGCCCAAAAGGCTTGCAGAATAATTTGTTAAAGATTTGAAAACACAGCAATTAACAATTAGGCAGTAAATGAAGGCTGAAATAGTAAAAACATCCTCTGAACTTGAAGGAAGAAGTCTGAATCAGGAGACTCCAGGATTCATCCAGAATAATTTGTTGCATCAGATCTAAGGCACCTTTAGGCATCATAAATAAGGCAAGCTTGCATCTTACAACTCTTAAAAAGACTCAAAAAAGTCTGTAGAAGTTGTTTTAAGCTGAAGTCTCTCTTTGAAAAGAAGTACATCATCCATGGCTTCGCAAACTTTTTCCTGCCTTGACTAAGATTTTTCTCTTAATTACCAGGAGGATAATTAACTTAACAAACAATGAACCAACTGCAAATGATAAAAGGTTCCTTATTCGCCAAAACCAGAAAAGTCATTTGAAATAGCTGAATTACCTGAATACAGTTCACTTCTAGAAGTGCAGCAACAAGGACCTGAACCTATTCAAGATGTTCGTTGAAGCACCCTATTGGGTATATAATCGCTTTTTCAGTTTTCTCATGCTTTTATTGGATACTTACCCTGCATTTCCATAAGTTGTTTCCTTTTTAATTTTGGGTTTTTATTCTTAGGTCACTATGATGTTGGGGAAGAGGGTGATAAATCTTTTTGTTGTCGTGTCAATCACTATGTCTTCATTATTGGTATGAATCACTTTGTCAATCACTACTGTTAGTTCAGCATGACTTCTTCTAGGACTTTGCCAATGCAAATAAGTTATGTACCTCTAGTGGTGTATATTGAAAACCAACTCGTATTTGCTCCTTATCAACCATTTCAGTATATATTTCTTTTAATGTGCCAATCTGCTTCTGTTTCTTCTCACTTCGCATGCTAGTTTCTCATTATTTCTTTTTCTGTGACTTGTATTATGGAAAGGGTTATTCTGGAGGGGTTGGAGATGCTCGACCTTTAGTTTGAGTTGGTGATTTTATAGTAATATTCTATTGGTCTGGTTTCTTGGTTCTTGTTTGTTCATGGGCCGAATCTAGAGCTCATAGGATTGGACAGATGAAAGCAGTCAAAATATACATTTTTTGCGCGAAGGTAGTTTTGTTTTCTTTCCCTTTTTCTTTAAAAAATGATTTCCTCTAATGTGGCAGAGATTTTTTTTTTTTTTTAACTACTGATGGTTTGCTTGTATTCAGGGTACTTCAGATGAATCTCTCATTGGCAAAAGTTGATTAAGAGTCTGTTTGAAGTTTTGGCTGTAATGAATGGGAAACATGCTGCAATATCTGAAATCAAGGTCATTTTCCCATTGTTATTTTGATATAGGATATTCTTCGTTTGATGTTGATGCTGAAAGTCATAGCGACGTTTATGGGCTATCAGTTAAGTGATCTAGCATCCTACAGGTAAATCTTTTTCATGGTTGACAAGCGTCCGTGATTTAAAATTTATCATGGGGTTCTCTATAATACTTTAGGCCCTGGTTATAGTGATTATTAGAATTGATCTCTCAATTTATTCTTACATAGGTATTTATGTTTCTAAATGTTTTTATCTTACCTGATGTTAATCAATCATATTTTGAAGTCTGGAAGGCTGTAAGACTTGAAACCAATTCACCCTTAGGCTAACAGGGAGAGAACTACAATTATGAGGAGAACAATTACAATGAAGTAATTGAACAGCATTGTTACTGTAATCGAACAATTACAATGTTCTAAGTTACTGTAATTCGACAACAAACTGAATTTACGTTAGCCATTCACAATCTGGAACCCTCATTTTCAAATCTAGAACATTGTTGAGTCATTATGTGCAACTCTCTAGCATTTTTTTCTTTTTCTTTTGCAGCTAAATCACTCAGAATATTCCTTGAATTTGAACAAGTAGTATCTAAGTTGGAGAGCTAAAATTTGGGTGTAGTAAGTACAAAAGACTTGGTTCTGAGCATGTGCTTTTACATGTTCTCACCAGGTACAAAGATTGGGGGAGAAAGAGAGAGAATCTTGTTTCCTGTGCTTGTTTTGGATTAGATTTAATTTGTTTTATCTTTTAGCAATTTTTATTCATGCTTCCATTGCATTTTTCAGTTTCACCTTTTTACTTCTTTTAATGTCCTGTAAGAAGTATTCTGGCCGTATAACCCAAAAAGGGAACGGCTTGAATTTTAACTCTACTATTGCAGCAATACGTGTAGTTTGAGTTAAAGGGCAAAGCAAAGAATCGTAAAGATGTATATCACAATGTTAATTTCAAAAAATGCTCACAGCAAGTCATGTAGTTTGCTTTT